GCCCGACTGCTGGAGGAAGCGCATAAAAAGACCACGGCCTCAGAGCTGCCGAGAGACAAGCCAAATTATATAACTGTTTTGTCTCCTCCTTTCTTTCCCTCCCCCTTCTTTATTTGGCCTTACATGGGCTTTTTGTAATGATATTGTCCGGGGGGTTTTATCCATTTATTTAATGAATTTATTCTTTTGCAAAAGTAGATTGATGTGAAATATACTACTTAAAAGTATTTGCAATGCGATGGAACTTTTTAGTCTGGTATTGGAAGTGAGATTCATTTTCCCGTCTTATACCAAATGACAAACAAGATCGAATACCAAGCTTTCAGGATTCACTTTGGTCTGAAAGGTATGATCAAGGATCGTGCGAGTATTGTCCTCGGCTTTCGTCTTATCCACTTTAGAAATACTTAAATCAAACCGAAGTATCAAAGGAGTGGTGATCAACCACGAAAGTAAGTTTGCGCTTTTAGTCGAATGTTTGGCCAGAACATTGACTTAGTAGAATGCATTCACATGAAAAGAATTGCTTTTTGAAGTGTGTGAAGTACTTGCTTCTTCATATGCCGAGCTGATTGGCAAAAATAAAAATTTATTAGATTTATGGCTGCACCTGAAGGTTGCTTACATACCCAAATTGGGATCAAGCCATTTGTAGTTTTTTACAATTAAGAGACGAGTTTTAACTTATAAGCCGAACTACATTTTTATTGTAACATAAAATAGATATAAAAGCTGCGAGATTCCTGCCGAATCTAATTTGATTTTTTGGCGTCAGAGAGGGCTTTTTCTGCGGTGAGTCGCACCTTGCGTTCGCTGATGAAACACAAGCGAGCCATCTGCTGGTTCCCGCAAAGTGAAAAGATCCCCGTGGATGTGGCAAACTTCATGCACTGGTGATAGGTTGAGACGATAGCTTTCATATCATGGATCCATGGAGTGCCGAGAATTGCGATGTAGATCGCCGGTTTATCCATGACAGTGAATTTGACGATCTTTGTTACGCCACCGACGTAGACAGTCAACCGTATCATACTGATGCTAAAGAAAGACTCGCTGGTGAATCCTGTAAGCGGCTTGGGTGCTGCCTTGATATCCTTGTCGTGAAGTCCCACCTTAGTTAGGGTATCTTTTAAGATGATGTTGACAGTGCTGCCGGTATCGATGAGGATCTTTGCTACTTTGCTTTCATAGATATGGAGTTCAACAACCAGCGGGTCATTGCGCGGGGTATGAAGGCCGTGAAGGTCTTTTAAGGTGAAGGTTATTGTTGGTTAGTAACAGTTTGGGGGAATTTTTGCGAGGTGACAGTCTTTCTTTTATAGTTTTTGATGGCTCGGACCGAGTCATCACAGTCGGGTAGGCCTCTCATAATCATGTTGATCCGTCTTTTGGGAAGTGGCGGCAGATTATCTTTATCGTGGTCTTTGTTATTGTGCTCTGGTCGTGCCTTCTCATCCTTCCCTTCCTTTTTTTTCTCAGGTGATATGCTTCGGCGCCGTCCTCCTGAACTGCTTCGGCTGCTCTCCTTGCCACAATCTTGGCGGTCACTGCTTGAGGTGCTTTGGCGTCCATCTTTATTTGAGCTTCGTGAGTAGGAGTTTTTGCTCTGAGATCTATCACCGCTGATCTTTATCCTCCCCTCCTTGTACTTTTTGTAGAGCGAGTTATGGAGATGACGACATGCTGAAGTGGCATGTCCTGTGCATCCATGGAAGGAGCAAAAAAGATCGTGATTATCGTCACCTTCGGCTGAGGCAGTTGGAGGATTGCCTCGGTTCCACTGGTTCCAAGGCTTCTCTCCAGCCTTCATGATAGCGTGTGAGGAGGGCTTGCCTTTGAGATTTGCAGGATCCTTGCTTTGCGAGGTGCTTGCTCCTCCTACATCGTGCTTCTTGGCATAGAAGATTCTTTCTTCCTCTATCCGGATGAAGGTTTGTGCCCGGTGTAAAATGCGTCCTCTATAGTCTTCTTCGGGTTTATGAGCAGGTCTTCCTTGAACGTGGATTCAAATCATAGGCTGTTGATGAGTGCTTCTAGTGCTAGGATTTACGGTATCTGGCCATATGTTGCAGCAGCATTTTTGAATTTTTCTACGTAGTCACGGAGGGGTTGATCGCGATCTTGGGTGAGGGTGAAGAGGTTGACAGTCCTCTTCGTGATAAACAGCGTGTAATGTTTAATGAAGGTGTGGGACAACTCCTTGGAGGTTTTGATTTATGCTGGAGGAAGGTTGGAAAACCACTTGAGGGCATCTTTACTGAGATGCTCGACGAAAGTCTGGCAGTGATTTGCCTCGGCTCGAGGTCGATCTTGAACCATTGTCTTTTCATGGCTACGTTGAATCCGGCAAGCCATAGATTGGGATCCTCTGTCTCGTTGTAGTATGGTAGCTTCAATTTGATTACTGCGCTGAGGCGTACATCGGTGATCCGTAGAGCGAATGGATTGCGTTCGGTGTCCGACAAAATCGCTGAGATCTCGGGTGCCGAACTGGTGGCTCGGTAGACTTGAGATCCGATCGTGTTGATTTGCTGGTGCAACTTTGTGATCTCGGAGTTAAGCTCATCTGATGGTTGTTCGGCAGTAGGAGTCGTGTTCTGAACATCGTCGCGTTCAGGTGTCTTGAAGAGCCGTCATCCTAGGGTGCTGGTTGTTGCGGCTGCGAGGTTGCTGAGCTTTTTATCGTATTTGGTTTGTTGAGCCTGAAGAGTGTCCAGCTTGGACACCAGGTTCCGTGTGAGTGGTTGTAGAACAGCCTGGATTGCTGCGGCGAAATTGGCAGCTAGGATGGTGGCTGGTCGTGCTCCTGTTGATGGTGGAATCGTGGTGGTAGTGTTGATGGGGTTGCTGTGCTCGTCAAGAACAGGTGTGTTGTTGCGCGTGGTGCTATCTTGCTCGTTGAGGACGAGGTCGCTGGTATCGGATGGAAAACTCATCGCTTCGGGTCTTGTGTTGCTAATTTGTTAAGAATTTATTCTCCTAGTCTCCATAGACGGTGCCAATTGTTGAACCAGAAAATCACCAATAGGTCTAAGTGATTAACAGTTGTGGGTTTCAGAGAATAAGATCTTTTATTAATAGCTCAAAGATGAAGCGAATACATGAGATGGCTTAACCGAGAGGTTATGTCGAAGTGAAAGATAAAGTGTTCATGCGATAATCTAGAAAGCTTGGAGTTCTTGGTTTTTCGCTCTGCTGCTCTCTAGAATGTCTGAGTTGCCTTGAAGCTATCCGGGGTCTTCTTATTTATAGGAATAGGAGGTCGGTTGCTGCGAGCTCCTTTTTCTTTTCTTCTTGCGTGAATATTTCCATATTTGCGATATGAAAACATCATTTATTCTCTGAGAGATATGGAAATTCTCCTTTATCCTCGAATATTCTTCCGAGCTGATCCAATATTATGGAGATTAATGAGCATCGTTAAGTAGTTTTCCTTATTTGATTAGGTCAGTGCATCCTTCTAGATCTTAATGGATCTAGGTTATTGCTAAAGAAAGCATTTTAAGAAATGTGCTCATTTCCCTTCTAATATCGTCTCAGAGCATACTCCAGCATTGTCTTCCTTAGCCGCTCTGTGGATCTGTCCAATTCTGTCATGAGTTCTCAAAACCCCATCTTCAATGAAAGCACCAAATGATAGAACCGATTTTTGTCGAAGAAAATAGAAGAAATAGAGTTAGATGAGGAAGAAAGAGGAAGAAGATAATGGCTGATTAAGGAGACGCCACTCTAGTATTTGATCAATAACGTAGAACGTAGAAGAAAGACAATGGCATGATTTGTAAATGAACAAAGATAATCATGATTAAGCCCAAAATAGGCCCTTGTCCGAGAAGACATGCAAAAGGAACGACATGCTTATACAAAAAGGTTTCTCGAGACTGGAACAACTATCGTTGGGTTGATTTTCCAGGTTCTGTGTTTCTCTCACAATACTCTAAAACACATAGGCTCTGTGTTTGGTTTCATAGATTTTGTGTGTTTATGTTAGTGTAATTGTTAGATAGTAAGTTCACCTTAATGGCTGTTTTCAAGTTATGGAAGTGAAAAGTTACTCAATGTGATAAGATGCAAATGCTAACAATTTAGTTAGCAAATATAGTATTTTCTTTGGACTAACATGCCTTTTTGTATGTTCCAGATATGCAAGCTTTTGCATCAATCCATTCAATGAACCGGAACTCTCCATGCCACTGAGAGTTAAATTCTCTGATACTTCGACTCCACGTTCCATGGTTCCAGAATAGACAAAATGACTTACACAGACTCAGGTTCCGAGAATTTCCTGTTCATTGGAATGAATTGATGCAAAGGGTTGCATATATACCACAAAGAGAATAATCAAAAAATCTACTTGTGTCGCTTTCGTTTGTTCGGGGTTTCTTGCGATTGAAGATACCCTAAGATCTAATGGCTGTGAATATGACACTAAATAGGGTTGGTGGCATTTGAGGTTATGACACATTAACACGCGTGTGAATAAAATAGCATCATGACTAAACACGCAATCCAATCTTTCTCCGGACACTCTAGTCTCTACAAGAGATCGATCTCTAGGCGTGTGTGTATATATATATTTGTCATGTATTTTTTCATGGAAATGAATCTGATTCATTACATCTTTTACATGGAATCAGAACAAAAAAAATCCTCTTTCTCAATCACCAATGGAATCAAAAATTTTAACTCAAGACGAGGCCAAGAAAGGGTCGACTAGGGTTCAAGAAGAATCAGAAACCTGATCTAATCTCCACGTTCCCTCACGCGAAAGGCTGGAGACCGAAAGCTTTGCTGATCGGTTACTATGGCTACAGGATAATGCAACGTCTCCTTGAAGGTTGGCTTTACACGCAAGAATTCCTCCAAGCGCGACCCATTGATTTTTTCGTTTGTAGCTATCCAAAATCAGGTACCACTTGGCTCAAAGCTCTAACTTTCACCATCGCAAATCGATCTGGGTAATGATTATTCTTCAAACCCTCTCCTAAAACGTAACCATCATGAGCTTGTTCCTTTTCTTGGAGGCCAAGTTTCCTTTCTTCCCTCAAAATGATGTTCTTAATGACAAAGGGAACACTCTGTTTGCGAGTCATCTCCCACATGGTTTATTACCCGAATCGATTTTGGAATCAGGTTGTAAGATGGTTTACATCTGGAGAGGCCCAAAGGACACATTTGTCTCCATGTGGAGTTTCTTCCAAAAGGAAAGATTTGACAATGGCCCTCTCAATAGTCTTGAGGAGTCTTTTGATATGTTCTGTCGAGGTTTCTCTGGGTATGGTCCTTATCTAGACCATGTCATGTCGTACTGGAGAGCTTACCAAGAGAATCCAGATCAGGTTTTGCTCCTCATGACGATGAGAGCTGATCCTTTGCCGTATGTGAAGAGATTAGCTGAGTTTATGGGTTTTGGATTCACAGCTGAGGAAGAGGAGAAAGGGATTGTTGAGAGAGTTGTGGATCTTTGCAGTTTCGAGACGTTGAAGAATCTTGAAGCCAACAAAGGAGAGAATACATTCCTTCTGGCTTTTATCCGAATAGCAAATCTTCGAGGATAAGGATATCTTGACCTCAGTAAAAAAAATATTGTTAGTCAGAAGTTTTTCAAATATAGCTTGCTTTTTTTTTGCTTTTTTTTTCTAAGCCATTAGTTTTGGGTTTTTTTTTTTATTTTAAATATCAAATTCGATTTTGGGAAATTGGATTACAGATCTGGTTGGATTTAGGCATAAAAGTGGTTTGAGGTGCCGGATCGTTTTGATTTTTGGTTTAACTTGCTCTAAATGTCTTAGATTTATTTTGTTTTGCTTTGCTCTTGATCTACTTTTTAGATCTGGTTTCTGGCGGCTTTTCTGTTTACGGATTGTCAGGTTTTTTTGTTTGTTTCATTGGAAACATGTTTGGTTTCTCTCTAGTTCAATATATCACTTTTCTCTTTGGAGATTCGATGATACTGGTTTATATCATCCACTCCTCACCTCTGCTTTACTGATCTGATTGGGAAGTTCAAGTTTGATTAAAGAAGAGATCTATTTACATTATGAGAATTATTGTCATATTGTTGTCAAAAGCATAAGAAGTCCATCTATTACTGTGGGTACGAGAACGTCTTTTATTGACTTTTTTATTTATATTTTCAAGCTCCGGAACAAGATTGTATTGGTATCGCCAATATATCATCAACAAAATCTCTCTTTATTAATTTATTAGAAAATATTATTGATTTCTCTCTATATTTTATTTGTCAAAATCTCTTCTAAATTGTAAACGAAGATCAATAAAACAAAGTGTTAAAAAATAAGACAATAATAACATGCTGAATCAATTAGTTTATTGCTTAGTGGATAAGGATATTAATGACCTTGTCGAAGATTTGCTTGACGAACACACGAGTTAATCTTTTTAATCTTTTTTCACACAAGTTAATCTCTTCCTTAGACAGAAAGTGATGATCCTGTGACCTCAAATATTTTTTTAGTTTTTTTTCCGCCAGCCTTCTTAATCAAAAGAAAGAGACCGGTGCAGGTATTAGAAGACAAACAAGAAGAGCTAAAATTAAGTGTTGACATAAGTGTTCAAACTACCGATTTGGTTATTAGTAAAATTAAAAAGTTAGCCAAAATCACCGGTAAATTAGATGTAAGTCTAAGGAGGTGTTATTGGTTCTTGTATTTTAATGGATTTGAGAATTCAAACCAAATTCAGTGTTATTGGTTCTTGTATTTTAAAATTTATATTGAAATACAGTGTTATTGGTTCTATGATTTTAAAATCCATAATGAAATACAGTGTTATTGGTTCTATCATTTTAGAATCTAAATATTATAAGGATTTGAGTTTTAATTGAATTTGAATGGATTTGGAAGGATTTTCATGACTAAAATACAAAGACCCAAATACAAGGTCTAACCTTGGTATTTGAGTGGATTTGATTTTTTTCTATTTTGCTGATTTTAAAATCAATAAATTTATCAAATCCAAAGAGAATTTATAAATCCACCAAAATACAAGAACCAATAACCCCTACTAAATCGTATATTATGCATGTAAGGAAGTTTATCAAATCAAAATAATGGATCTATCTTGACATCAGTAAAAACAATATTGGTAGTCAGAAGTTTTTCAAATATAGTTTGCTTTTCTTTGCTTTCTTTTTTGTCTAAACCATTAGTTTTATTTTTTATTTATTTATCAAATTCGATTTTGGGGATTTTGATTTACAAATGTGATTAGATTTAGGCATAAGCCTGGTTTGAAGTGCCGGATCGCTTTGATCTTCGATTTAACTTGCTTTAAATGCTTTAGATTTGTTTTGTTTTGCTTTGCTCTTGAATTATCTTTTAGATCTGGTTTCTGGCGATTTTTCTGTTAACAGATTGTCAGGTTTTTTTGTTTGTTTCATTGGAAATATGTTTGGTTTCTCTCCAGTTCAATATATCACTTTTCTCTTTGGAGATTCGATGATATTGGTTTGGATCATCCACTCCTCACCTCTGCTTTTACTAATCTGATTGGGAAGTTCAAATATAATTAAAGAAGAGATTTATCTACATTGTGAGAATTATTGTCATATTATCGTCAAAAGTATATGAAGTCCATCTACTATTGTGGGTACGAAAATATCTTTTATTGACCATTCCTTGATATTTTCAAGCTTTGGAACAAGATTGTGTTGGTATCGCCAATGTATCATCAAAAAAATTCCTCTTTATTAATTTGTTGGGAAATATTATTGATTTCTCTCTATATTTTATTTGTCAAATCTCTTCTAAATTGTAAACAAAAATCAATAAAACAAAGTGTTAAAAAAGACAATTTTAACATGCTGAATCAATTAGTTTATTGCTTAGATGATAAGGATATTAATGACCTTGTCGAAGATTTGCTTGACGAACACACGAGTTAATTTTTTTAATTTTTTTTCACACTAGTTAATCTCTTCCTTACACAGAAAGTGGTGATACTGTGACCTCAAATATTTTTTTTCGTTTTGTTTTCGTTTTTTTTTCCGCCAACCTTCTTAATCAAAAGAAAGAGACCGGTGCAGGTAATAAAAGACAAACAAGAAGAGCTAAAATTAAGTGTTGACATGGATGTTCAAACTACCGATTTGGTTATTAGTAAAATTAAAAAAGTTAGCCAAAATCACCGGTAAATTAGATGTAAGACTAAATCGTATATTATGCATGTAAGGTAGCTTATCAAATCAAAATAATGGATCTATCTTGACATCAGTAAAAAAATATTGGTAGTCAGAAGTTTTTCAAATATAATTTGCTTTTCTTTGCTTTCTTTTTTGTCTAAGCCATTAGTTTTGGTTTTTTTTTTTATCAAATTTGATTTTGGGGTTTTTGATTTACAGATCTGACTAGATTTAGGCATAAACCTGGTTAGAGGTGCCGGATCGCTTTGATCTTCGGTTTAACTTGCTCTAAATGTTTTAGATTTGTTTTGTTTTGCTTTGCTCTTGATCTACCTTTTAGTTCTGGTTTCTGGCGGCTTTTCTGTTTACGGATTGTCAGATTTTTTTGGTTTGTTTCATTGGAAACATGTTTGGTTTCTCTCCAGGTCAATATATCACTTTTCTCTTTGGAGATTCGATGATACTGGTTTGGATCATCCACTCATCACCTCTGCTTTACTGATCCGATTGGGAAGTTTAAGTTTGATTATAGAAGAGATCTATTAACATTGTGAGAATTATTGTCATATTGTCGTCAAAAGCATAAGAAGTTCATCTACTATTGTGGATACAAGAACGTCTTTTATTGACTTTTTCATTGATATTTTCAAGCTTCAGAACAAGATTGTGTTGGTTTTACCAATGTATCATCAAAATAATCTTTCTTTATTAATTTGTTGGAAAATATTATTGATTTCTCTCGGTATTTTATTTGTTAGATCTCTTCTAAACTGTAAACGAAGATCAATAAAACAAAATGCTAAAAAAGACAATAATAACGTGCTGAATAAATTAGTTTATTATTTAGAGGATAAGGATATTAATGACCTTGTCGAAGATTTGCTTGGCGAACACACGAGTTAATTTTTTTAATCTTTTTTCCACACTAGTTAATCTCTTCCTTAGACAGAAAGTGGTGATCCTGTGACCTCAAATCTTTTTTTCGTTTTGTTTTAGTTTTTTTTCGCCAACCTTCTTAATCAAAAGAAAGAGACCGGTGCAGGTAATAAAAGACAAAGAAGAAGAGCTAAAATTAAGTGTTGACATAGATGTTCAAACTACCGATTTGGTTATTAGTAAAATTAAAAAAGTTAGCCAAAATCACCGGTAAATTAGATGTAAGTCTAAATCGTATATTATGCTTGTAAGGAAGTTTATCAAATCAAAATAATGGATCTATATTGACATCAGTAAAAACAATATTGGTAGTCAAGAAGTTTTTCAAATATAGTTTGCTTTTCTTTGCTTTCTTTTTTGTCTAAGACATTAGTTTTGGTTTTTTTTATATCAAATTCGATTTTGGGGATTTTGATTTATAGATCTGATTGGATTTAAGCATAAACGTGGTTTGAGATGCCGAATCGCTTTGATTTTTGGTTTAACTTGCTCTAAATATTTTAGATTTGTTTTGATTTGCTTTACTCTTGATCTATCTTTTAGATCTGGTTTCTGGCAGCTTTTCTCAGGATTTTTTGTTTGTTTCATTGGAAACATGTTTGGCTTCTCTCCAGTTCACCTCTGCTTTACTGATTTAATTGGAAAGTTCAAATTTGATTAAAGAAGAGATCTATTTACATTATGAGAATTATTGTCATATTGTCATTAAAAGCATAAGAAGTCCATTTATTATTATGGGTACGAGAACGTCTTTTATTGATATTTTCAAACTTCGTAACAAGATTGTGTTGGTATTACCAATGCATCATTAACAAAATCCCTTTTTATTAATATGTTGGGAAATATTATTAGTTTTTTTCTATATTTTATTTATCAAATCTCTTCTAAATTGTAAAGGAAGATCAATAAAACAAAGTGTAAAAAAAAAAGACAATAATAACATACTGAATTAGTTAGTTTATTGCTTATAGGATAAGGATAGTAATGACCTTGTCGAAGATCTGCTTGACGAACATACGAGTTAATATTTTTAATCTTTTTTTCACACTAGTTAATCTCTACCTTAGACAGAAAGTGGTGATCCTGTGGCCTCAAATCTTTTTTTTCGTTTTGTTTTCGTTTATTTTTCGCCAACCTTCTTAATCAAAAGAAAGAGACCCGTGCAGGTAATAAAACACAAAGAAGAAGAGCTAAAATTAAGTGTTGACATAGATGTTCAAACTACCGATTTGGTTATTAGTAAAATCTAAAAAGTTAGCCAAAATCACCGGTCTATTAGATATAAGTCTAAATCGTATATTAGGCATGTAAGGAAGTTTATCAAATCAAAATAATGGATCTATCTTGACATCAGTAAAAAAAATATTGATAGTCAGAAGTTTTTCAAATATAGTAATTTGATCTGTTTTGCTCTTGGTGTTACTAAGTTGCGGAACCTCTTTTGATAGAATCACTAAATCTTATCGCTTGTGTTATATT